GGCAGATGTGGCAGTGGAAGGTGTCAAAGCAGTTTGGAGAGAAAAACAAAGTAAAGAACAAAAGAAAAAAGAAAACGATTAATCGATTATTAACTCAGTCGTTGATTATTTTAATAATCGATTAGTCGTCGATTCATCGATTAATCATTGCAGCCCTAGTAACAACTGCGACCGGACATCTTTTATCCTTTGAGATTTAAACCAGGAGGTTCTTGTGCCAACACCAGTGTCTTTTAGGTGAGTTTATCTTAAAACAGGTCAGTTAATCCTCGGAGAAACGACTCACATTGTTTAAGTTACTGAGTCGCTGCTTTTGTTGTGGTCCAGAAAACCAGTTCGCTCAGTCGGTCCAGAAACTTTAAACASTCGACAAACGTYAAGCACAAACTCACGGATCAGCAGTGACGTACGTTCGGGACTTAACTGTGACGTTTATTTAAGCAGCAGAAAAGTGGAACGTTTATTCAAAAAGAAGCAGGAGCAACATGATAAACTTTAAAAAACACAAATAAACCCGTTTCATAGTTTTCTGCTCACATCACCTCATAAAGGGGTCAGAGGTCATTTGATAGAAACAAACTTTATAAATTTGACGGATGAGATTATCTCTTTATCCGATATTTTCTGTGAATTACAGCAGAGAAAACACGGGACGAGGTGAAATGTTTGAGTGTAGGATGTTTATACGAGCACGTGGTCTAAAATAAAAAGGTTTTATTAGTAAAAACTTAATTTTGTAACATGTGACAACTTTATTCTTAACAAAATTTTATGCATTGACCATTAAAATATAGTTAACACTTTCACTGTTTAGTCTTTCAGTTCATTGAGAATTTTATTCTTCTTATGTGCTTTGACCCGAGTGGATGGACTGAGCAACAACAGAGCTGCTTCATGGAAGAACCTCAGCTTAGCCTGTTAGCTTTAGCGCCGACACTATTTAGCCTTATATGTATTAGCTCAGCGCTAGCACGATAAACAAGCTAAACGGAGGTCCTCCATCCATATTTTCAGTTCCAGCTGAGTCATTTTTGTGTTCCCATCTCTGTCACATCTCTGACTTCTTGCTAACTTTTTTAACCAATTTTATTTTCGCTTTCATTGTTTTATCTTTGACTGCTTGTAATTTTAAAGGACCCCCCACATACTCGGGCGTACTTTGTCCGCGGAGGTCCGCAACGGACTCGAAGCAGCCATCCGCCAGAATGGTCCGCGCATTTTTTTTTTACGTCTGCAGTGTCGCACAATAAACTGCATAGCGAGTTCACGTCGAACTGTTTTGGATGTGACACAAAGCTGCTGCAGCTGAGGATCGTGTCATTTGTGGACAAAATGGAGTCAAAGTTTGAAGAGCGTCTCATGGAGGAGATTAGAAAACTTTATGATGTGTTAATGAAGGAATATAAGGACTTCAGTGAGCAACAAATTTGTGGGAGGAAATAGCTCAAATCCTGGGTAAGGTAAATCTGTTTTTTTTTTCTTTTGTTGTTTTAAAGCTAAAATGCAAACTGTCTCTTCCTCCTCGTCCTTGACATCATGACTGAAATTGCGAGAAATTTAAAAAATTGTCAGGCGGTCAGTACGCTCGAGTATGAAGTGTCAAACATCCGCAGACAATATGCGGGGAGTCTGCACAGCTCATGGACCGCACACAGTACGCTCGAGTGTGTGGGAGGCTTTACTGTCTTGAGTTTGTACAAATCTTTTTTTACCACCTTCTAGCCAAGATTCTGACATTTCTGTAGATAACAAACATGTCTATGTTTAACTAAAAGAACTTAAAGTAGAAAACTGGGGGTTTGGGCTTAATGGTGCGTTCACACCAAACGTGATTTCAGCATCAGGAGCATCAGGTTTAAATACAAAGTCTATGGTGGACGCGCATCTAGCAGCGTCAGGAAGTGCTGCGGCGCCTCAAGCGCGGTTAGAGCAGCACGATTTGAACGATTTGAGCGTTCGATGCGCTGAGGAGCAA